TATAATGAAGGCCATGCAGCACAAACAAGAAACAGGATGGTGAAGTTTCTTCGGCCAGAACTCAACCAATTCCATTGGACTCATACGACTCAGCCTGCAATCGAAAGCACTCTGCGCCAAGTCGGAGTCATGCACTCGTGAGAGTCTGCCCATCCGACTCCCGTTTACAAGCACCCAGAAGGGGCGTCCCTGCAGGCTCACATAGTGTGTTCAGTTCAGAACCCGGAATGATTGGACCCCAACTCTTACAGGTGGCTACAGGCGGTGTCGTGGCGAATCAAGTTTAGGTAGTATTATATTAGCGAGACCCCTTAAAGGGTACCCCTTCTGAACCCTACTTCTGGCTCTCTTAAAAGGGGCCTTTTTGAGAGGGTCTATATCCCCAAGGGCCCCCCTAATCCTAACTCCCAAAGTTAAGCGGACACCTGCCAGAGCATTGCTTCCAATACGCCCGGCACAGAAACGACAAATTAGGGGTTTAGGGTTAGGGGATTTAGGGGTTTAGGGTTTGGGGCGGTAGGGTTTTTGGGGGTTTTAAGGGCTGTAGGGATTCTTAGGGAACCCACAATGCTGCGCAGCAACCCTGCTGGGGCAAGACCGAAAGTGAGAGAACTAGTCGGACAACCAGTTGCTTGGATAACGTAATGACGACATGGTAACCCTAAACCCTAAGCCCGGAAGGCATAAGGGCTTAAGCTAGCCGATGTGAAAAATGAAACCAGAAACCGTGGAGATACGGTTCAGGAAAGCGAAGCCCACTGTAGAACGACCCCGCGTGTGTCTGAAAAAGGGTCACTGCGAGTATGACGGCACTTCCAGGTATGCTTGCGAGATGTGCCCACCTAGAGAATACATATTCGGCACAAGCCTTGATGGCGAGACGAGAATGGATTGAGAAATAGGGTTTAGGGTATGAGAACCGTTGCACATAACAAGTTGAAGGGTTCCGAACGCAAGAACAGGAAGGAAAAGCAACGAGACGACCACAACTGAAGCCAGAGAACCCAAAGTCATAAACCGTATACAACATCACTCCCACCCGAAAACAGGATCTGGGAATCCTCGACGGGAGTTTTCGGTAATGCAATACACCCTGAGCCCCTAAAGCCAGAAAATGAGAAGCAGTTCGTGATGCTTGCGTCCAAGAAGAACTTGGCTATTTTCAATTTCTTTTCCGTAGTGAAGGATCTGGGCGAACAACGTCCAAACAATTGCCAGTCGTGGGATGATGTCAAAATCAGATAATGGAGATATGAAGATATGGGCGAACAAGGTCCAAAATAGCCAGTCGTGGATTGATGTCAAACTCAGAAAACGGAGATATGAAGAAACTGCCTCATCAAGACTTGTGCCGTGCACGGGGGTTTGAATTGTTGCAATGCATCCACCAAGAGCCCTCTTCCAAACTGCGAACTCCACCCGTTTCATGGGGCACAGTCTCCTACACCCTAAACTCTCAACAAGAATAGTAGAAGAGACTCCGACAAGTCAACAAAAGTCAACAAACAAAAACCTAGAGAGTTGTAAGACTTCACATCCGCAATAGTAGGGACGACGGGAACTATGAAGACGAAGACTACACTAGTAGGATCTGCTGTTTCATTGTCGTCCTGGCTAGCTGCCACCGGCGAATCGCCCCGAAACGGCGAATCTAGCCGAAAAACATCTCGCCAAACGCGTTTCGCGATACGTATATATGAAGAACTGGACCAACTTCCATAAGCCCTAGAGCCAACATGTCCGTTCGTTACTTTACCGAAGGGCAAATAATTACCATCTGCGTTCGATCAAGGCACTGCTGAACCCGAAACTCGACACCCGGCCCGAAAGCCCAAAGCCTCGATAATGAGCTCGAAAACCCCGAAAGCCCTAGAATTCTCGCATTTAGGGTTTAGGGTTTAGGGTTTAGGGGTTTAGGGTTTAGGGTTATCTCCCGACGCCCTAAGACCGAAATTTCTAAGGATTAATCACTACACTCTATAAGATGCTAGCAACCTCAGAACTCAAAGTTTATCGCAGCCTGGGGCCCAGCAGACAGCAAGAAAAAGAGTCTCCTCCAGTCATGCAAAGACGGTGGCGAACCAGGGCATCGCAGAGAATCCGTAGTGGGCTGTACGCCTTTAGGCTTTTGTAGGTTTGGGTTTGAGAGCCAAGGATTTGGAGTCTCAGTGCTCAGGGTTCTGCTGCAAGACCCCTTGGCAATAGGAGTACCCTTCTTCCTATCATCTCGCTTCAATGAGGAGACACCGAGGAACCAAGAGACCATACAACCGGAAAACCTACTTAGAGGATCATGGGACTTAGTAAGTAGGGTTATAAGTAACACTATAGTCATCTCTACTTTTAACCCCAATTAAGGTACTTATAACCCTACTTACTAAGTCCCATGATCTTCCAAGTAGGAACAAGAAGCACCATCCAATCAGCAGGCTCCTGCTTCCTACAACCGGTGGCCTGAGTAAGTAGAATAAAGCGTTCCAAGGAAAACTATGAACCCTAAACCCTAAACCCAGCCACGGTTTAGGATTTAGGGTTGTAACATTATGAACTGCTAGTTTTTCCGACCTTTACAGTAACCCGATGACAACCAAGCCAAATCCGGGAGTGTCCGAAACTTGTCCTAAGGCCACAGAAGTCAGGTCCATGGTCCAATGACATCCAGGTCGGGGTTTAGGGTTTAGGGTTCTGCTTTACCAGAAAGACAAGGGCCAATTCAGAAGGCGGTGTCGTGAAAGCAACCATGCCCCTATGCTCCTGCAGACATGTAGCCGTAGCCCCGATCACGGTACCCATATTGCCTTGCTTATAGTCACGCATGAACTTTAGAGTCTGGCGTGAAGTATCAACGGCAGGAGATTGGATCGCCTTAACAGGGCCTTGTACGGCTCGCAAAGAGATTAATCTCGAGCTCAGTAAGGAGTGTTCGCAGCCCAATCTCGCAAGCCTGACCCAGTCCGGTGACTCACCCTGCTAAATCCAGAACTCGAAACCCTAAACCATAACCCTAATTCCTGAAAGGGAGTAGCCTCCCCTGGTTCCCCCAAACAGTGGATCTCGATCTGCAGCAGCCGAAGTACTGTACCCCTTTTGGCTGGCATGCTGCATCTTACAGCCTCATCTTGTCAGCCGACTACAGGGAAGTTGGAATATGGTTTCATGGTAGGATACCCTATAATTTACCATAGAAGGGTTAGGATAATCATATTCCAACTTTCTGGCTCTTACCTTAATGGAAGAGGCTGTGAGCAGAGCTGTGTCCATCCATTCGATGCTGAGATGAGCTGATGAGAAGAATAAGCTGACGTCCTAACTTTACAGCGGATTGGGAGCTCCAAGTAAGGCTGTACGTGGGTGAACTGTTGCTACAGCTCCTTGTAATCTCATTGCTGCTCAGCGTGCTTATGCCTCTTTTCGTGCATGAACCCTCATGTCTGCCCTATTGAAGGACCATGGGACTGTGTGATCGTATATAGGAGCATAGATTTTGCGCTCTCAATCAAGATGTTTTGCAATTAACTACGCTCCGAAAATGCGCATATGCCCGAACTACGAAGTCCAAATATCTTCAAAATGCATGTCAAAGAGAGCCCAAAGGTTTAGTTCCCGCCTTGTGCAGGAGCACAGTTACATCGAAAACGGTAAAACCTGCTACAGAAGCTACTGCCCCGATTGTCGACCCCTCCTCCCCAGTAATCTTACGTAAGTTGTGGCATGTAATTTTGTGTGCGACCCGAAATGCAGCAGGAGAGAACCTTGCTTGCGAAAAAGAAGCTTGCTTCCTTGGCACAAGACTCAAAACAAGTCTCACGTATCTGAAACCCTTTGCAGCACTGTGCAGGAATCAAGCCAAGGACTCGTTGCACAACACGGATCGAAGAGACGTTAGAGTAGGAAGTTGTCTACTTGTAAGTACCTGTGATCCTTCAACCAGGACTCAAAGTTGCCCAAAAGCTCTCAAGCTCTACCCAGCCCCCGAAGTCCATGGGCTAGAATCTGTCTTACTGTGATAACATGTCCGAGATCGCTACACCCTAAACCCAGATTCTCGACTCTCGCCGACTCTCGCTTCATATAACCTATACATCTAACTACTGTAAAGCACGTACCTCGAAAGCATTCCTGAACAATTTCCGGCAGTCCAGGGTGCATGTGGGGATGGAGAACACAGCCCGGATGAGAGGATAGAGAGAATGAATTGCTAGGCAGTGTTCCGGGATCTGGAATTGTAATAACGCCAGAGGCAGGTCAACAAGCTTCAAACCCTGAACCGTTTTGCATCCAGGCCTATTGCAACTGCCCAACACCCTAAACCCAAAGCGCAGTAATCCAGATCCCAGCCAAGGACGTGCACACTACTACCCTACAGTAACAGCAGTCCTGACAGCACCGGTGCTTCTAAGATAGAAGCCTTACAGTAATCCCCATTGAATTGGAAACCTGATCGAGGCCAAAAACTTAAATAGTGCCGGGATTCGCTAAAAACTACCCTTAAGGATTGAGGCTGTTGGGTTTCCAACTCTTTGGCTCCTTAGCCCTGAATATCCTGCCTTTCTAGGGTTCCTTATTATGATTTCTTTATATTAAGTCCTTAAACGGGCTCCTTATTATGATTGTTTTATATAAGTCCTCAAAAAGGGTTCCTTGTTATGATTTCTTTATATAAATCCTTAAAAGGGTTCCTTATCATGATTTCTTTGTATAAGTCCTTAACAGGGGTAGGTTCTTCGGGGTTAAGGGAGGCCTTGCTGATTTTATCAGGGCTCTTTGTAAAGCTCGCGGGTCGCTACTTGATGTAGGGGCCCGAATAATTAGAACAGGGTTCCGTTGAAGGGATTTATAGGGGTTCTTTAAAGGGGTCTATACGGGCTACTATATGGGATCTGAAAGGTAACTAGAATATAGGGGCCGTAAGAGTTAGAATACGGTTTTGGGCTCCTTTACAACATGGTTTGAATAAGGAACCCTATGGAATAATAAAGATAATGATATAAGCTTCCATATTAAGCATCCTCCGCTGTGCAGACTTCCTCATCGCCACCAAACACCTAGGCTGCAGTCTTCGGGCGTTTAGGGTTTAGGAGTTTAGGGTTTAGGGGTTTAGGGGTTCAGGGATTTAGGATTTTAGGGTTCGCCGGTGAAGGTCGACGCGTCCGACCATCTCAACTCCGGACAACAGCCTGACAGAACATTCCACAAGGAACATGCTGGTAGGACTGTATAGTTCAGTATCACCTGCACTCAGATTTCGTGAGGACTCCTGGCTGGCCATGGACGGAAACACTGTAAATCACATGGTCAACATCCTAAACACGGAACCCTGACCCGAAAAAAAACACCACAAAGGAAACATCAGGCTTATCACTTTGGGAACTCTCAAATAGATTGCCAAGAAACCATTGGCCGAAACCACTGATTCTTGACTCGCCCGCTGCCTCCTTTAAGTGCTTTCATGTTCTTCTCCAGGCCCTGTGCCACGAAGCTAGGGGCCTTAATCAGAATAGGGATTTGGGGCCCACGATACCATAATTACAATAAGGAACCCCTATGATAACACAAGAATTTACTAAGGCCACTATAGCAGATGCGACGCCCAAGATGAAGGCGTCAGGATTGCTGCAGATTTCGACACAACGAGAGAAGTAAGCAAACCAACGCCAATGGAACTAACGTCACCGTAGTGAGAATGCCGAGACACATGTCAGTACTTGGGGCATGCGTGAGTACCACTGCTACTTGTAGAAAATCTAAACTCAAAAACTGTCAAGCCAAAAGCTTCAACTACGAACAATGAAATCTTGAAGTGCAAACCCGAATCGGCATCGTTGCACTACGAGAAGCTAAGAAGAAATCTGTCAAACCAGGCCACGGCTGAGTAAATGCACTCATAACTGCCTGTGTACAAATCGAATAGGAGCCTGTATCAATAGGATATGGGTTAGCAGTCCGTTCTACAAGAGTTGTCCCACGGACTATGAGGCACTACTGTGACTAATTGGTCAGACCCTAGAGAACAAGTATTGAAAATTGAAACACAAATTCTTGGATTCAACAAGCAACTCGACACCCACAACTTGTCAAAACAACCTACACCCTGCATGCACCCGAAACCCTGAAAGCCAAACCTTAAACTCCCTCAACCCTAGACCAGAAAAACAACACCTTTAACTCCCTCACCCTGAACCCTGCATGCACACCCCAAGACCTTAACACTTCGAAACTGCACCAAGGTTTCCTGGGTAACCGCGGGCACGATCTCAAGAATTTTCTTCGTGTCATAGCCTAAGGGTTCAAGGACCCAAGCGATGTGTGTTCAGGGGTTCTAGAGGCTATAGGGGGAAACGGCTGTTTTGGAAGGGCTGCAGCTTAGGGGATGAACGTGATCTTGCCCTGCCCTAACTTGCCAAGGCATCCTGGCCCTGCGACAGCAACCTCCAAAATCCTACGAGTCTGGGGCTTAGGGAGGAAACTTGGTGTTAAGCATTCATGGTCTTGTTTTTTGGGTTCATGCTTCGGGGCAACAAAGCATCTGAGAGAGGCGTGTACAGAAGTCGGACGCCACAGCAGCATGATATGCGGAGCTCGAAAGACGGCCGGGTATAAGGACAGCGCAGGACAATGCAGGACCGCTATCGAGTACTACTCAATTTTCTGCATTAACCCCACATATTATTTACACGGTCGAAGAAGAAACATAACATTGAAAAAGAACAGCGTCTTTGGTTCTCGTAAAGCTGCCTTTTAAAGGAACACGTGACATGCCAAAAGGGAGGGATGTTCGTTCGGATTCGTTCGCCAGGCTGACGTTGGTAACAGCAGTAGGTTCTTACGCACTGCGCAAAGAAACTGCGGACACATAAACACGCCAAAGGCAATGGCCTCACATTGCTTCGAAATGCTCCCTATTGGGCTCGTGCGTTAGGAAATGCGACAAGCTTGCTATGTTCATGACAAAGAAGTTAATGGGCTGCTCTCTGGTATAGATGATATTCTGAAGTACGAAGGTGAGCTCAGCTCTGAGAACACTGCTGTCAGAACATCCGAATCAAGAAGGACGTGTTGTAGATGCCTTAACAATTAGAAAAGGGTTTGGGGGCCATTATAGTTGAATTAAAATAAGGAACCCCCGAAAATTGTATTGGTAACAATTCAAACAGGCCCCCATATTCGGTCTAAGTTTAGGGTTCTGGCATCTGACGTTCGGAGCAGGTTCAAGGATAATACTTACAGCAGGACCAAATTAGGCACCTACCAAAAGCCGGCCGGAAACCGAAACCCTCTAGATCCCCTGTAATGTGGCGACCGAAATTGGAACATGTGCCTAATTCATGCCTTTTTTCCTTATTCGAGCCGGTTCCCAATAAAACGGCATCCTAAGTAATTCGTTTTCTTGATGTGGGTGACTGTCCTTTCTGCTGATGGTCAATCTTAAGGCACCCACGACCAGTACCCCCACCCCAACCCTAAAACTCTGGCCCTGGAGCCCCGAAACTCTCCCGAAACCGCACCCCCACTTATTAAGCCTAAAATCAGGAATCTCAAGATTTTCTTTGGATCTTAGGAGGGCTTTCCGAAGGTTTCGGGATAGGTTTCTTCGGGGGTTAAGAAGGCTTTGAGCTTTTCTAAGGCTTCAGGATAGGAATCTAAGGGGTTTAAGAGGCCTCTTGCTAAGGTTTCAGGACAGGCCGCTAAGGGGTTTAGGAGGGCTTTCCTATGGTTTCAGGACAGGAATCTATAGGAATTCGAGGCTTTGTAGGGGGTGTGGGAGGGCTTTCTTGAGGTTTCAGGAGACCTCTCCCCAGGTTTCAGGATAGGTTTCTCAGGGTTTAGGAGGGCTTTCCTAAAGTTTCAGGATAGGAATCTATAGGGGTTCGATGCTTTCTAAGGGCTTTTAGGAAGGCTTTCTTAAGCCTTCACGACAGGTTTCTAAGGGGTTTAGGAGGGCTTTAGCTGCGACCCCGCAATTTCCTTATAACTTAATCAATCAAAGCCATCCAGACCGTGACCCCGGTCCGAAGGGTCACTGACACAAGGCTATTGAAGCCAAACTTTTTGGTCGGGGGGGGGCCCTATTATTTCGGAAGAGACATTAGAGCCCTCATGGATCCGTTTAAAGGAAACCTTGTAGATCCCTACAAGGAACCCCCAAACAAAACCGCCCTGAAACCGAAACCCTCAGCCCCGCCAAAAAAAAACTAAACCTTGGAGCCGGCGTACCGAGCACTCGCCCCCATCTCCTCGAAAGTTAAACCCAGAACCCTAAGCCCAAACCGACCTTTCGACTCTAAAAGCCTCCTAAAAAAGCTTGGAACCCATATACACCGAAATCCTCAATCTCAACCCCGAAAACCCCAACCCCGCTATCCTAAACAGATTCCCACAAGTCGAAAGACTCCGTGAGGCCGAAACCCCCAAGCCAGAAACCTCTAAATGGGAGTTTCCGAAAATAGGGGTACCTTATTTTGGGGTCCTTATAATAAGGATCCTACTATCGTGGTACTATATTAGGGTCCCATATTTTCGGAAACTCCCAAATGCCCTTTGTTGTAGAAGCCTCATCATGTCAACACGGTTTCCTTCAACGGTTCCTTGAGGGCTCCAACAAGGCTAGTACGGCGATGATTTTTAAATACCCGGACATCTAAACAAGTTAAACAGGTGTGTCATACTACTTCCGTGGGCATTGTCTCTGGGCCGCCCAATTTTAAAACACACGGAAAGACAACAACACGAGACTCCAGCCCGCAGACTCCGTCCTCCAACCTTCGCCTCTCCAGCCCTCTTCCCAGCACTTCAGCCCTCCAGCCTTCCAGCGTTCCAACCCCTCCTGCCATCCAGCCAGCCTTCCAACCTTCCAGCCTCCGGAAGGCTGGAGGGCTGGAGGGCTGGAAGGCTGGAAGGCTGGAAGGCTGGAGGGCTGGAGGGTTGGAAGGCTGGAGGGCTGGAAGGCTGGAAGGCTGGAGGGCTGGAAGGCTGGAGGGCTGGAAGGCTGGAAGGCAGGAGGGCTGGAAGGCTGGAAGATTGGGGAGCCTGGAAGGCTGGAAGGCTGGAAGCCTGGAGGGCTGGAAGGCTGGAAGGCTGGAGGGCTGGAAGGCTGGAGGGCTGGAAGGCTGGTAGGCTGGAGGGCTGGAAGGCTGGACGGCTGGAGGGCTGGAAGGCTGGAAGGCTGGACGGCTGGAAGGCTGGAGGGTTGGAAGGCTGGAGGGCTGGAAGGCTGGAGGGCTGGAAGGCTGGAAGGCTGGAGGGCTGGAAGGCTGGAAGGCTGGAGGGTTGGCAGGCTGGAAGGCTGGAGGACTGGAAGTAAACACCCGGAGCTAAAACATACGGATTAAAACAGGTGTCTCATACTACCTCTGTTTGGATCTTGGGTTGCCCGCCCCCCACATGTTTTAAAATTCTCACCGTATATTCAAGCATTAAAGTAAAAGCCAGAAAGTTGGAATATGATTATCCTAAACCCTTTATGGTAAATTATAGGGTATCCTACCCTGAAACCATATTACAACTTTCTGGAGTTCCCTGTAACGGCTTTGCTTAAGAGCCTGAAAAAAAAGGCAAGAAAGCCCCCCTTAACATCCTCTACAACCCGGAAGCGCACGCCCGAGTGCCCCATACCCCCAAAACCCCTAAGCTCCCTAAGCCCCAAAGGCCCATCCCTTGGGGGACTTCCTCGGTTTAGGGCTTAGGGCTTAAAGGGAACTCCAGAAAGTTGGAATATGGATTCATGGTAGGATCCCCTATAATTTACCTTAAAGGGGTTGCGATAATGATATTCCAACTTTCTGGCTTCTACTGTAAACCCTGAAGCCCCAAAAACCCCAAAGATCGACTATGATGTATAGCATTTATCATTTATCTATACTGGACCCCACTTTACTATGCTATACTGCATATTCGAGTGGCGCTTCAGCTTCTGACCGTGGAAAACCTTTGCGAACTCCCGGGCCGAAGCTGCGGAGAGGAAGTTCAGGAAACAGTAGCCGCGATTTCCTGAGAGTTTATATGGGAGTTTCCGAAAATAGGGGACCCCAATATGGGACCCTAAATAGTAGGAGTCTTATAATTTCCTGAGAGTTTAGGGTTTAAACTTCCCTAAACCCTAAAACCCTCAAACCATGTAGGGTCTAGGGTTCAGGCTTTTGAAACAGTAGCCGCGATTTCCTGAGAGCTTATATAAGGTTTAGACTTCCCTAAACCCTTAGAGGTTTGAAACACTTCGTGCGGGTTCAGGGTTTAAGCTTCCCCGAACCCTAAACCATGTGGGTTATATCCCTCCTACTTGGGGTTTAAGCTTCTCTAAACCCTAAACCCTATGTATATGTATATATAGCGCTTACGGAAATATGTCTTGCAGTCAGTAGGAATTTTCGTGCTTTGTTATAAGGGGACCTGTAGGGTGGCAGGTAATGTAGGAACCTGGTCGAGCAACCGTGGGCCTATAACCCGCAAAATAGTAGGGTTCATATAAGGAACCCTAATAAAGGCCCAAGGTTTCTCTTTCTTGGGTTCCTACATTATTATCGTACCCCTATAGATACCTTATAGTATCCCTTCTAGACCCCGTTGAAGGAACCCTTAGGCCCAAGGTTTCTTAAGCAGGTTCCTACAGTAGGGTTTGGGCTTCTGAGTTTCTTAGCGCTGTCCCTGTTTGAAGGGCCTTGGGCAAGGTCCAGGCAGATGGGGCCTGGGGTTCCCAGTATGTGGCATAGGGGAGTTTCCGAAAACAGGGGACCCTAATATGGTACCCTAAGTAGTAGGCTCCTCACTATAAGGAGCCCAAAATAAGGTACCCCTAATTTTCGGAAACTCCCATAGAGGCCGAGATATGATGTAGTACAATTAGAAAATCAATCCTAATTGCAGGAATAGTGTTAAGAAATACAGTTGGTGATTAAATAAACTAGTTAAGCATTCGCATCTGAACTGCGGCATTAAACGGAAGTGTCTTCTGCGAGCTACTAGTAGCCTTTGTTAATGAAGTATGGTAGGATTGCATGAAACCTCAGCAGCCACAAGCTTACCAGACCAGCTGCCAACTACCAAGAGTAATATACCCCGGCTGCGAAGCGATAAAGCGTCCGTCTCTGTTTGGGATTGTAGGTTCTAGGCTGTTGGGAAGCGTCTGGGCGGTGTTCACTAATTAGGGCTTAGCGGTCCAGCGCTTGGGCTTGGCCCCACCACTTGCGGCCTCTAAATGGAGGACGTTGCGAACAATAGTCTATCCGATTCAGAATACAGACCCTGGTTACACGGATCCGTGCCATAAGTTATCAGGACCGGTAACAAGAGTCTCTTGACTTCTAAGAGCCCTGCAGTAGATGATAGAGCATGAAAGCTCCAATCTCGACAGGGAGCGCTTGGTGTTGAAGTCGATGGGAAGGTAGAAGAAGTTAAATCTGCCCTCGAAGCCTCAGTGACGGGATCGCCGAAGCCGGAATACCCATGGCCATGCAAGCTCATGCAACGTCCCTTCTTCCGCCTACATGAAACGGCACTTGCGGGTGGCAGTTGTTCTGTTAATGCTTATCTGGCCTCTTCGCACATCAAACCAGCGCCTCAACCTGCCTCAAATGGGGGGTTTCCGAAAATGGGGGACCCTAATAATATTATAAGGACCCCAAAGTAAGGTACCCCTAATTTTTGGGAACCCCTAACTTGCAGGCAAGACTTGAAATCGCCTTAGAGTGGTTGCATAGTTCAAGTCTTGGCACACAACCGCCTTTTCTTACCTTTGGTTAGTTTTGAATGCAAGAATGGTAGTAATAGTAGTCATAATAAACCCCATTCCTCCATTCCCTACTAACCAAAAATAAGTTTTGCATAGGCTTCACCCTATACCTAGTTTGTTTGGGCGCTTGAACAGGCGAGGCGCCTTCTGATATCACCTCGCACAAGAACTCTTCACAGCTGTAGCGGTTGGGCACATTCCGGACCATGACGGTAGTCTTGTCATCAGTGAAGAGGGCCATCTCAGCTGTGCAGCAGCTCCGAAATGCAACTCGTTGCACTGGTACACATAATCATGCACAGCCGTGCTTTAAAGCAGTTCCTGTGGCCGAAACACCCACAATCCCACCAACTTCAGTGCAAATAGCCCAAAACCTCGAAACAGCTGAAACCCGAAGCCCTACACCCTAAACCCCCCTCACACAAAAAAACATAACGACACACAACCCACGTTCCTGGTCCAGGTCACAGCCTCCTCGAGCGCGAGTGGCCCGTCGGCTTTGCTGGGGTGTCGCGGCTTCTCTCGACCAGGGCGCGCTTTGCCTCAAACACGAGGAACCCGTACATGCAAAAAAGAAAAGCTAAAAAAAAAGATTCGTAGTCTCAAAAGCTTGTGGGTCCGACATGGACCGATGGTCAACAATCGCCGCCGCCAGACGCTTAGACTCTGTGCCACTGCTGGTGTCATCAGAACACACCAAGAAACATCATCTTTAGCATCTGCGAGATCCAGGTCGGTAATGCAGATTATGTCGCCAGGTTGGGCAACCTTGCCACTATCAGCATGACCAGTGTCATCGCCATCAGTTAGTTCCGTTCATCGTCCCGATACTGCCAGCTCTTGTACTCTTGTACACGAGCTTTCCCACTGCTTCGCTTCCGTGCGTGGTTTAGCTGTAAGTTGAAACTACAAGATGTGCGACAGTAGCTGCCCTCTAAGCCTAAAAAGTCAGAACTCAGTATCGAGCCCGACGCAGCTGATTATCTCCGCCTACAATGCGTTTCGCTTGAGTAGGCTCAACACCAAACCCCAACGGTGTAGGGCTTTGGGTTTATACCCCCCTAAACTCTTGCAGGACCACGGAGCTCAAGGCCTTTACTGGGATGTTTCTCACCATCAACACATACAGACCAAGTACAGCGAGCCGAATCACAATAGGCATGATGGTGTTGTAAGCCTAGCACCCGTGGCAGAAAAGTTGACACTGCAACGGGAGCAGAGAGACACAGACACCGCATCAAGTGCAGCATGATCATTGACACTCCATGCCGAGCTGAGTTGTCCTTTAAGCCCTTTGAAAAATATTTACTATTATGGTTCTCTACAAAATAGTAGGGGAAATGAAAAAAGATCCCGAAGGACAACCCAGCGAGTCAAAACCTGCCTTGTGTCATGTAGTTCCCGCGCGGATGTGAGCAAGGAGCGGTCACCGAGGGTTCCTGGGTGGGCTTCCACCAATCAAGAGGATGTCGAAACGATCATTACCCTCAAGGTCCAAAGGACCCAATAATTAGGTACTCGGGTTTGGGATAGGAGTTATGTAGGTTACTATTTTTGAGAGTATATGATAATTGGCTACTTGGACCCTTAGGGTTAATGGAGAACACAGGTCCCCGTGAGACTTTCTGACACTGATGTTGACAGCTTAAAGTGCGAATTGCGCTCAGAAGCTCAGGCAGCAGGTACGTGGCTCAGCCGCCATGTCCACCACGGCACGTGGCAAAATCAACAAACAAATATCAAACCCTATCGGTTCCGTCCTGACCTTTTCGGACAAGAAAGCATCCTTGCCACAAGCTTATTTGAACACGCCGTCTCTTCAACCTCGGCCCTCCCCGCGCGTAATGTTGACACCACATCGCTTCAGTATGCTTACAGTAGAAGCCCAAAAGTTGGAAACCCCAGAGCCTCCATCCTTAAGAGTAATTTATAGGGAATCCCGGCACTATTTGGCCTTAATCCGGTTTCCAACTTTATGGGGTTTACAGTATATCAGAGAGTCCTAGTTTCGAAGGCCCTTGAAGAAGTTGGTTATTCGCAAGTCAGACGTCTTCATTGCAAGGCGAACCGTTTCAATCGAAGAAATCCTAAACTAGGGCCTAAACCCCAAAACCCCAAGCAGCAAAGTCTCCAGCACTTCCTCCACAGTCTGCATGGCTTCGAGCGAGGATCCGTCCTCCGCCTCTATAGTACACTCCGAAAAAATCTGTTTTGTGGTAGCAGAGGTGATGGTGGGGGGGGGGGGGGGGGGGGGGTGAGGGTAGCCGAATCATATCAACTAGAATGGTGTATGTGTTATGGTATCAACCCACGGTGGATGTAAAGCTTCAACTGTTCGGTGAGCTCATGGCAAGAAGGATGAAGCCCACCAGGGCTTCATCCAGTATGACACCTGGTAGGGGGTTTAGGGTACCCTAAACCCTAAACCCTAAACCCAGGGGCAGGTTCAGGCCTTGGGACTTGGGATTTTGGAGATTCAGCCACTTGTCAAGCATCCGATGTTGGGCCAGCACTAGAATTCGGCATCAGAAGCTTTCGCGAAGCTGTAGGATCTAGCTGCAACCAACCCCCAGTAAGCCAAATGCCAAGTGTGCCAGCACAGCAATAACACAGTCCTGCACACGAGAAACTGCTGTCTAACTACACTAGCATTGGACCGACGAAGCTTGAGAATTATTACAGTTAACCTAACTTGACTATCTAAGTCATGATTCGGCCTTTAAATACATCTAATTTGGGGGTGAGGCCACAGACTTGTTAGAATTACTTGAAAACATGAACCAACTCAGTTAGCTTTTGTATGTCGGGACTGAGTCCGGAGAGGTACTTGGTGTAAAGGTACAGACCAGACAGAATTGCGGGCCACATGGACCTCAAAGGAACATATGTATATATATATATATATATATATATATATATATATATATATATACATACTTACATACATACATACATACATACAGCCAGACATACAGATGGGGCATGCTACATGTGTACTCCTATGTTACATGTGTACTCGAGGTACCACAACTAAGACGAGCATTACTCATTCATACCGGACACAAATGAGTTCGGAAGTCAAAGACGAGGATGACGATAACAAGCATCATGAACAAAGAGCAATAATCACAGTACTGTCTCCGGGCCTTGCTTGTGACTGAGAACAAGACGTAAAGCATTTCTACTGTCCGTGGCAATGCCGGCAAATGGCATCAACACCGACAAAATCAACATTCAGAAGCAGTGGGAACACCCGCACATCATCTTCGAACCTCGTCGTCATACAGAACATTACAGAAGTATACTGACATGTACACGCACGCAAACACACAAAAACAAACACAAACACACACACACACACACACACACACGGCCTTAGCCATCCCCAAACCAAAGAAGGTAGACCCTAAAGCCGCTTGGCATCCCAAGTGCGCAAGATAACTGAATCCGAAGCCAAAGGCCCTGAAAACGCGAAGGAAGAGTCGAAGAGTCGAAAATGGCTGAAGGCCTCGTCGGATCGTACTCGGATGCGCATCAAAGGAAGTCCGGCGGGCATGGCTCGGAAGCTACCGGGGAGTTCTCTCAACAACGGAACCGGTGGGGCAGCCGAAGGAACGTGCCAAAGCTGCAGGAAGCCGGACAGTTTCTGTGTTTTCATGAGTCTAGGGCCTGGGGTTGTCACCAGCGAATTGGCAACGACTACTGACTACAGTGCAGCCACGTCCATACTACGAAGACACCATTACCACGACAACCACCACCACCGCTGCTACAGATAATGGCAGGATGGTGAAGACGGTGATGATGATCCCCATGCCCTATGACGACTCTGATATTTGGGCGGGCCCCCCTCTTACAGTCTGCGGAGAAAACACCCCCTCCTTACTGGGGATCAGGGTGATTCGCAGCCCCCCCCCGCCCTGCAAGCTTCCACCACCTCAGCCATATCCCGGCGAGGACGCACCAGCTCTCCATATGGGAGTTTCCGAAAATAGGGGTACCTTATTTTGGGACCCTTATAATAAGGATCCTACTATTTAGGGTACTATATTAGGGTCCCCCTATTTCCGGAAAGTCCCATATCAGCATGACGATGAAAAGGCTGGAGAGGGAGGATTGGCCTCACACCTCGAACTACGGCCGTCGAGACACTGTCCTGAGCTCTTTCTTTTGGGGTGCTTCGGCAGAGACTCGAATCGGCCCTGTTAACTTGCACTGAAGGGACTCCCGAGATTCGATGTTTTCGCGTAACGTACGCAGTGTCTCAGTCAAGTTGTAGTGGTGCTTGCAATCGGCAGCTACATGATATTACGGTTGGTGATATAAATCCTGCATTACCTTTATGACCCTAAGCTACGGGAATTATGTTGTATTCCTTATTATGGGTAATGCAGGATTTATATCATCAACCGCAGGAGTCGGAACCCTTGCAGGTTTGAGGTTGAGGGTCGTAGTCTCCCAACAAAGCCATCTGTGACCCTAAACCTTAAACCCTCTTGTTGAGCAGGGACTGCAATGCACCACTGTAGGGTCTTAATTACATACACTATTCTGGGGGATTGCTGATTATATTCATACGAAAACGGGCCCCAAAACCCTTCTAATTATTAAGGCGCCTATATTAAGCCCTGAATCCCTTCAGCCTGACCCCCTAAACCCTGTATTCTCGACCCTCGAATGCCTAGCGCCGAGAGATCCTAGAGGCCCAAAACTCACATTGCCTGGTCTGTGTAGGGTTTAGGGTTTAGGGTTTGTAGGTTACATCAACAGTCCACTAGGCTCCACTGTAGAGGCTTTGAAAATGGGAAGAGGTTTGCGGGTTAGAGCAACTAGAACGAGACAGGCTTACTACTATATTGTAACGACTCTCTTGAGCTCATACTGTCCTGCCACTCATAACTCGTAATGAATACATTACCAGAGACATCCCAAAGCCTCGGCAAACTCCCGAAGACTCTACCAACATCCTACAACTTAAGGTTGTACAAGGACCCCAAGTTTCAACCAACCGCTTTGGGTTGACAAGGGGGTTGTCAGCTCCCAGCTAACCCCGGTTTCAATGTCAAGACTCCAACTCTAGTAACCTTTAGCATCATAAGGATTCAGGATTCAGGGTTTAGGGTTTGTGGCTGTGGGCTAGGTTGAGGATTGCGGATGAAGGATCAGGGGCAGCTTGGGGCTTATCAGGTCTAGGGTGCTATGGAGTAGGGGAAGTTAAAGGTGAGGGCTCTTCTTGGGCTGGCAATCGCGAAGCACCGCATGTCGCACAAAGAGCAGAACAGGCAATGCATCCGAGTAGCTACAGGAACACCGGTTAAGACCCTAAACCCTAAATAGGGTTTAGGCAGAAGCCATACCCGACTGCAAGGATAGTATCTGCTTTCCCCAAAGTACCAATATAGGAATATGGGGACTACTTGAAGGCCAAATAGTATATACTTTCCCCAAAAAGGGGGCCTACTTTAAGGCCGAAGTAATATACTACTGGGGTACATGGACCTTATACCCGAAGCCTTCAAGTACCCATAGTATAGAACCCTTATGGTACCCTTTAGAGGAAAACCTGCAGTATTGGCCATGTCTTGGCTCGATACATGTCGCTTCTGCCGTCCATGGGCGATGCTGCAGTAACCTGCTCACGGGGCAGAGGTTTCGCAGTTGTTTAGGGTTTAGGGTTGAAGGCTTCGGGTCCAGGGTTTAGGGTGTAGGGCTTAGTTTTTTGTTTTTTTTAAGCGCCTCTTTTCCAACTCGCCGTTCGGTCGTCAGAAATCCCTGCGGACTTAGGTTTTAGGGTCCAGGGTTTGAAGGTGTGGGGTTGCGGCTTGGCGCAGAGAGTGCTCAGGAGGTTAGTTTCGGCGATACTCGGACACAGTATGTTCGTTCCTCCTTTTACTGCCGATGGCAAGTAGCATCCAGCAAGCCTTCAAGCGCCATACGCTGTCGAGCATATGCGGCTTGCTTGCACATGCCATCAGGACGTCTCGTAGATTTCTGCATATGAGGGTTCGTTGAAATGTGTGGGCCTGTGAACAATGTCACCCTATACTAAACCCTCGACACCTAACGGCAGACCCAGAACTCGACTCCAAAACGCCAGAACCCCAAACCGGGAGACCGTCTAATGTAGGAACCTGATTAAGGAACCCTGGGCCTCTAACCCCAAAATAGTAGGGTTCATAAATAAAGGCCCAAGGCTTCTAAATGAGGTTCCTGCATTAGACTAAAACTGAATCCACAGTGGAAGCTTCGGTTCACCTCCGGTTTCCACTTCGCAGTGCCGGGCTTTAGGCTTCGGAAACAGTCCCTTTACTATAGGGACCTAAATCATTACCAATACTATTTTGGGGGTTCCTGATCATGGTTATAGCGTAATGGGCCCCAAAACTCTATTCTGGTTATTAATATAGACCCCTTTAAAGGAACCCTATTCTAATTATTAAGGCCCCTATGCCCCGCATAACACCCTCCGGACCCCAATGTAGGGGCCTTAATAATTAGAACAGGGGTCCTGTACAGGGGTCTATAAGGCCTACTATAAGTGCTATGACAATGATTTAGTAGAAGAGCCTCATTAATTAGAATAGGGTTTTTGAAGCCCAGGTGGTTCAAACTACCAGACCTTGCAGACGCATGTCAGCCTGTTAAGAACTACCCCAGCCACGCCAAACGCCTGGGCAAGACCAGCATCATCAGCTACATGCTCGGTAGGCCCTACTGACAAGTAGGCGGTGCTTGCAAAAAGCTGGTGCTGATTGTTCAATGTGGCGCTGCCTGTGTAAGCCTGGTTGAAAGGTTGCACGCGAAGCTGACATCAGTTTCGAGGTTCTATCTCCATCCTGCACTTACCTTGGCATGAGGCGTCAAGGGCTACCGCCTGACAAGTCTACGTGTAGAAATCGCAGCGCCGAAATATCGAACCTCGAATACGGGAATACGTGGGGGGGGGGCTCTGGGATCGTACATGGCGCAGCCAGCTAAATCACGGCTTAGGTATGATCACGGCACAGGCTTCAACAGCCATCCCTTCAACGATCCTCTGCGCAGAGCCTAAATCCCAAACGGTATTGGGTTTACCCAAACATTCCTATGTACTGTTATGGGGAATACTTCCCTAAATCACAATAGTAATTCCTGGTATAGAAACCCTACATTCTACTATATCGGTACATAGGACCCTTTAGGGGTGAGGGATGCTCATCTTGTGGACTTGTGGCCCCAGAAAGCGAGTCTGGAAATGGCAGCGGGCGTAAAACCCAGCAGATCTAGAACTCGAAAGCCTGCAATTTAATAGTTTAGGGTTCAGGGTTTAGGGGTTTGGGGTTTAGGGTTTAGGATTTAGGATACTAAGCTGAACCCCTCTTAGGTCCGTTTTACACCTAAGGCTTAAACGACTGAACCCCAAATGGATCCCCAAACTCACCAACACCCTGAAGCCCATACGCACTCCTGCATTGAGACACCCTAAACGCTACGCTAGAGAACCCGTAGTCACAGGCCCTGCATCCCAAGCCCCAACCCCCCCAAACCCGAAGCCCCATTGCCATAATTACACCAAACACCCAATTCCAGTAGCTCTAAACTAAACCCTAAATCTAAATCTCCAAGCGCTCCCAAAACACAGTAGGTAGTAAGTAGCTTATAAGTAATCTAAAAGGGACCCTAATTGAGGTTATGGTACTTATAAGTCTATAAAAGAACCAGTTACCAAGCCCTCCCAAAACTCTGAGGGTTTATGGGAGCTTCGTTCAGGAAGAACTCAAGAGCTGCTTCCCTAGTCTGGGTCCGGCATCTCCAGCTGCATGTGGGAGCTTCCAAAAAAAATTAGGGGTGCCCTATTTCGGGGGTCCTTATAATAAGGATCCTACCATTCAGGGTACTATATTGGGGTCCCCTATTTTCGGAAACTCCCATGTAGCGTAAATACAGAGAAGTCATTGCGCGGGACTCTTTGTCTATGATGGTCTTGGCCGTTGTAGAAGTGCAAGAGTAATTCCGGAGAAGTCGGCACCAAATGAAATCAGAGAGATGCTATGTGCACATCTATGTATGTACATATGTATGTATGTAAATATGCACATGCGTACATACATCCATGCTTACATACCTGCAACGCACATGCATAATCATGTATGCACGCCTGCATGAACGTATTATGTAGGTATGTATGTCTGTGTGTATGTGAACATGTGGACGAAGGATTTAATGACTGACTGACTGAATGAATGACTGAGTGACTGAATAAGTGAATGACAATGAATGAATTGCAATGAACGGGAGACCATGGGTGGCTGCCTGAATGAATGCATGCATGGACGGATGGATCTTGCAGACCAAAATCTCGCTGCTAAATATGCGTGCCCCACCAAGCATATCTTGGAAGGTTTCTCGGTAGAAGGAGTTTAGAATATAATCCAAAAACCCCAAACCCCAAAACTCCGAAGAGCCCTGCAGTCTGGAATCCCAAAACCCCGAAAAGCACAACCCGAAACTGTGGGAACTGTCAACTTTCCTCTAACTCTGCTCTGGATCTCCGCTTGGCGTCTTGAGAGGTGAACA